CTGACCGCGTCGCTTCAAAGGTGCAATTTGGCTTCTGTTACCAACCCCAATGACGAGGCACGCATTGTCATAGACGTTCGCAGTGCAAATTAGACCCGGTAACGTTGCAAGTTGTAGCGTGTGGGGTATTCGAAAAATAGAAAGAACAAAAATGTCGTATTTATACGACAATTAACATCGTTTGATGGCTTGCGCCGAACTAATCGAGATAGGTTCATTTGAATATAGGAACTGCATGAATTGAATTTCATCGAGTCAGCAAAGAAAGATTGCTGTGATTACAGTACTGTTTTCATCATACTGTGTGACGGATTTTGGACAATTATTAGACAGTAATAACAATGATACTAACATTAGTGACACAACAGGAAATATCCTTATCCAAAATTAAAGAATAAGGAAATAGAAAACTGCTTCACGCAGTAAAAAGGAGTTTCAAAAGTTCAACAAAACAACGAATTTGAAACGGAATGAATCAGTGATATCAATCATAATAACAATGATAATAAAGATGCTGTTGGTGATAGAAATAACAATAAAACTGACAAAACTGTAATTTGAACACCAAAAATATTAATAATACGAAACAATTGCTGATATCCAAAGCTAGAAATCTTAATTCTGATTAGAATATGCTGGAAATATATTCCAATGAATGCATTTCAAAGAATGATATTAAATAATCAAATGTTACGAAAATCAGTTTGAAGACTTGATAACAATGCTGTTTCAACTGATTTGTTTCAATCAATTTTTACAGACAGAAAATGACTCTCATTCAATAAAAACTTAATCTTTGCTTATATGTGTCAGTCACAAATAGTGCTTGCAGTAAGTAAAACATGGCATTTTCTATAATTCCAGTAACATATCCACCTCGCATTACACATCAATTATTCCTCATATCCATTGATATTTGTTGTATCCTATCTCAGTGGTAGTCAACATAATATTGCCATCTCGGCTTTCATTCTTCAGAAAGCAGTGTGCAAAAATTTGGCAATGTCACAACTCTTACTTTATCACTGTTGCTTTTTCTTTCGTTTACGATCACCCCTGAATTCTAATCCCGGGACTGAAGGGTGGCCGGAAATTTGCAAATACTAATAGAGAACGACTGGTGCAATACGGTAATTCAAGTGTCTGCAGGGTAGCTTCCACCGCATTGCGAACTGTAAACGAACGTCATTTCTGATCCCGCCCATTTACGAAGTCTCATGTAATTGCTAGAAGTGATCGGTCTTAAATTTTGTTTTACACCCGCGTGTGTCTATTGAGAAGTAGTGCATGGATAAATGTAATCTCCATAAATTCAGTTGAGGCACGAGGGAGCTGATGTGCGAGACCACCACATTTTAGATTAGATTCGAGGGAGTTGATGTGATAAAACTCGAGTTGACCATTTGTGTCAGAATGGAGTTAAACCACTTCATGATATTCAGAATAGTGTTTTTTTTGCATTCGGGTGTATACTTAGGGTACTTTTACTGATAACGAGCGCCACCGCGCCATCGCAGATGCTCGTGTGCTCTTGTGCTTCACACATAAGTGGTAGCCTATACGTTAGCTTCATCACTGGGCTAGTCTAACTCCAGATTTGACTTCGAATTACACAGCCTCACGCGGGACAAAGCGATAATCTAAGCGCATGCGCCCTGTGGTGCCCGTTATCAGCAAAAGTGGCCTAGTTTGTTTTGGCTATTTTATCATCTAGGAACTGTTCAGAGCATTTGAGGCATGTTTCGTAATGTTCTCCCTCACTTTTTTACGCTACATCATTCTGTTATTGCAGCTGGAGATGGCGGAATTCGATTTAACAAAGCGAATGGTGCCCTTCTTTGACCTGCATTTGGTTATCCCTCTGCTGGAATTCATCGAGCCTCGTGATGTTGGTACCTTTATGCATTTTATGCTATTTTGTAATGTATTTTCAAAATGACGTCCATTTGCACTTATTGTTGTACGTGAAGAAAACAGAACTCAAGTTCAAAGAATGAAGTTTCATCCAAAATTATTACATTAATAGTCCCGTAGTGCTTCATAATGTTTAGATCTATGATCACGATTCGTTAGTGGAAATGCACCGTAAAGTGTTACTCAAAACGAATATGATCGACAGTGTAATCGAGACATATCCACCGGGCAAGGTTCCCAAAGAATTGGAACTCCGCAAAGCAGAAATTCTTAGTCAGGTTCGTGTTTCTAAACTATCTGCATCGTCTTCTAATCGAACAGTGTGATGTTCTGAAGGATATCAAACGCTTTCTGATTTGAAAAATGACCTAGCTGAATTTTTCGATAAACTCTAGTCGGTATGCATGGAGTGATGCTTTGTGTTTCTGAATTCATTTCAACTAACATGGTTTGAATTACTGGAATGAATACTACCAATATAGTAGTAGTAACTGATTACAGCGGGAGAAATTAAAAACGAAAGTGGATCCAGTGGTTGAAATTCTCGAATCGGAGCCCGTCAAAGCAATGATGGATGCTAGAGACGGAAATTCAAGGCTTCTGGAATATGTCTCTACAAATCACGGCGTAAGTCATTTTCAGCAGTTTGGATTCAGTTGATCATCTGACTTATCCAGTGTTCCGGAGTAAACGAATCCTGGAGTTTTTACTTTTACTGACAGCGTTGTTTGCAGTTCACGGAGGAAATGTTGGAGTCTCTTTTTCGCTACGCTAAATTTCAATATGAATGTGGCAATTATTCAGCGGCTGCGCTGTGCCTTTATTATTATCGGAGTCTGGTGCCACAACAGAATCCAAATTATTTAAATGCCCTATATGGAAAACTAGCATCCGAGATACTTCTGCAGGTTATTATTTCGTTGTTTCATTACTTTTTATCCAATTTAAATACTATTCGGTAATATTGTTCGATGTTTATTGAGGTGTCAAATTATTTGATGTATGTCAGCTCTAACTTAGGAATGGACACATGCAAAAGATGACTTAACCAAATTACGGGCATACGTTGATTTCAATCCGTTTGATACCGAATTGGAATCTGTTCAACAACGTGCATGGCTGATGCATTGGGCATTATTCGTCTATTTCAACTTTCCAAAAGGTCGTGACGAAATTATTGAAATGTGTCTCAATCAACAGTCCTATCTCAACACAATTCAGGCAATTTTTGGTTTCTTCTTTTCTCTCCTCACGTGTTTCTGTTATCAAATGAAGAAAATGCGGGCAAATTTTTCAGCAAAAGTCAATGAATTTATAAACTATGCCATCGTCTTCTAGGTTGCTTAACTAAGACACTCAAAATTCTTACCTGAAAGTAACGTTAAAAAATTTATTTTACGAATTTTTTGCTTGAACTGAAAAAGATCTGACCGCATCCAATTATTATGAAGTGAAATTATAAGAATTTTTCAAAATTTCAGATCGCTTGTCCTCATCTGTTACGTTATTTAGCGGTTGCCGTAGTAACAAGTAAAAATAAACAGAAGAATAGCTTGAAGGATCTCATTCGAGTTATCGATATCGTGAGTGGTTAATTTTTATTTTGCTGCTCACTTCTAAATTATCTTGAGAAGCTGAATTATTTGAGAGGTTGAACCGTTAGCTGGTAGTGAATAACATTGGGATGAGAATTAGAAGCTGAAGTCATTGATACGTACGTCCGATGATGTTCATCGTTTATCATAATTTCAAGGTCACTACTCAAGTCATCGGGACTTATAAGTTTTGATCGACCAACTTCCGTTTTTGCTGCACCAACAATGCACGTTGCAATAGACCACCCATAGTGGATGGAAGGAAAAGATATTACAGAAATGACATCTGTAAAATGACATTTGGTGGATGACAGAAAGAAATTTCATCGATATTTAGCAACATTTGGAATAACATGCATTTACTAAGGCCTTTATACAGCGTAGCTTCAAGGGTGTGTTTTCCATCAGCAAAGTTCACGAAGCTAGCAGTACGTCGAGCATCAACTGAAAAGTAAACGGCTTATGTCGATTTACTTTCCCTTTTCCTACTCACTGCTGATTTCTTCTATGATTTTTCCCTGAAAATGTTGTTATCAGTCAAACGAATGAACGTTTCAGGAACGTCATAACTACGAAGATCCAGTAACAGATTTTCTGACATGTCTTTACGTGAAATATGATTTTGATGAAGCACAAAAGAAGTTGAAACAGTGCGAAGAGGTTGATTGGTTCATTTCATTTGTGCTTTTTGATGTGTAACTATCTATTCATACTCATTATCCTATCGGATGAATGAATGCGTTATTGGTTATAATATATGTGTTCTAGGTGCTGTCGAATGATTTCTTCTTAACTGCATGCTTGGAGGATTTCCGTGAGAGTGCACGTCTTCTGATATTTGAGATGTTCTGTCGCATTCACCAGTGCATATCACTCGAGATGTTAGCTGAAAGACTTAATATGCAACAGGTGGTAGTTCATTTTGAACAGTGTTCAGTAAAAATGTTTCCTACTCTCCCAAGAGATCAATTCAGATTCGTGGATTAACTTCGACCATCCAATATTTTTTCTGTTGTATCATTTTCTTGTGAATGCAAATTTTCGTTTGATTCTTGTATCGATGGGTAATTCTATATTATTCAAGGTTGAAGCGGAAAGGTGGATTGTTGATTTGATTAGAAATTATCGTATTGAAGGTGCAAAAATTGACTCGAAACTAGGACAGGTAAATGTTTGTCATTTTTCAAACGGTTTTTGTGCTATTAGTTGTCGTTATGATCCAAGGGTCCAGGGCAACGATTTATTGGTTTAGAATTTTAAAGATTGCATTCATTTCTATAATTTTCGAAAACGGTTTCAGGTTGTTATGGGAGCAACGTCGAGCTCTACACACGAGCAAGTAATGGAAAATACGAAAAGATTAACTTTCCGATCACAGCAGGCTGCTCTACAGTTAGAAAAAGTTAAACTTGATAGGAAGGTCCGTTTTGTTTTTTATCTTTTCTTTTTACAGACTTTTTGGTATGAAATTTGATGAAATTTTGATTAACTGGCTTCGACAATGTGTTTTATTAATTATCATTACCTAACTGTTGAGATTCAATCTATTTTGAGAGCTTTTCTAGAGTAATTCAGGGTACTTGGAAGGCTGATTTGGTCTGATAGTGATTGCTGTAATTCGAACGTGGCTCAGTACGTTTCTTGTTCGAAATACTTTGTTGATTCAATAGTATCAGCGATAATCATCTCATAATCTTTTTATTTTAGTAACCTACCTTCAAGAGTACGTTCAATGTTGAAATTTTATAAGTTTTTTTTGTTTGGGTTTGGTTTATTTCGTTTTTTTTTGGTTCAGTTTGCCTGTTCCTGATTTTGATACCGACTTATGTTAATCTAATTTTTTTCATTTGTGTTTCGTGCTGTTATTTTTCAGTTTTATTCTCATTGAACTTCATGTTGAGTGTTTCTAGGAAGGGGGAAAATATTTGAATAGGAAAGTAACCTAATGTATTTCATGCGCTTGAAGTTGGAATGAACTTAGTCATAGCCAAGCAAGGTTTGGGGCTAAGCACTGACTATCCAGTTATTTTTATTAATGAACTATGAAAAAATATTTCACCAATCGTAGTGGTCGCAAAACTTTCTGAAGATATTTGGTGACAAATTCGTAGTATAAATCTCATTTGAAAATTCAACTTCTAAAGTTATTTCTAATCTGGCAAAGAATGATTATTACGTTTGATTTTCAACCAATACAATGATGATGTTGTGATCCTTCTCATCGTTTTTTTTCACCTCTCTATAAATTTTCATGTTTCTTTGGATATTATTGTGTTTGTTTAAATTTTCAGTTTTCATTTTGTTTTGAATATTGTTATTAAATGGAATTATTCGAATTGTTGTTTTAAATTGACTTTGATCTTTCTGTGCTCTTCATCGTGTGCAATGAAGAACGTAAAGAATTTATTCGATCTAAGATCATTTTATTATTGAGAAACTTTTATTGATAATTCTTATGGAATGGAATGAAAAACATTGAGTGAAATATCAACACCAAAAAGGAAAAGAAATGCGCATCGACATTTAAAGACTCACAGTTGATTGCTCTTATAAAACGAACAGATGGTATATTTACAGAACGAAATACATTCGAAATGTTCTTTTCCTACCAAGAAATAAAGCGCAATAAATGATAGTGAAGGTGAATTGTAAAAAACAAATCAATAAGCAAAAAAGAAAATGACTGACTGATTGTTAACTTCATCAATTGGTTATATAATGTTTCAAAAGTGAATTGGAATGGCTTAGAAGTGAACTTATTTCGCATACGTATATGCAATGCATTCAAAAGCATAAAAATAAAACAACATTGCACCAAATCATTTTTCACAAACAAGCAAACGATCAAATGGTAAATAAAAGTTTCTAAAAATATGACAACAAATTCAAACGATAATCATAAAATTGAAACTGATCTGAGTTGATAATGCTGAATGAATGAAATCTTAATGGGCTGAGGGAATCAATCTTATTTACAGTTGTAATGATGTCCTTCAAGCCTCTATCTCTTTTTCATTAACGTGATCAACTTTCCTTGTTAAGCGTTTTTTTTGCACTTAGATGGATCTCATTATCGGTTGAATTTTAGCAATAATTGAAAAATAATATAGGTCAATGAACGACTTTTATATTTTGCAGATCATTATTCAACAGTATTGTTACATAATCACGAAAACAAATCAGCACAAAAACAAATAAAGTTTCCAGCACAACCACCTAAACAGAGAGATGTGCATGTGTGATAGCGATATTAAACCATTCTGCAAGCCCACATTCTTCTTACGATTATCAAATATTCACTCATATCTTATTTCGTAGCTATGATTATTCAATTATAATATCGCAATCACAATATATTAATATCACTAAAACAACAAATAGCAAAATTATGAATGAAGAAAGACTTCGTTGATGAAATGAATATATTTGGCATAAGGAGGAGAGTAGATCTCTCCGATAAGTAGGCAAGTACATAGCATCTGAAGTTAATTACATGAGCACCAGATTGTACGTTTGGGATTAATTATGATGAGTATTAATTGTTTTTCGACGTGAATGATGACGATCGTGATTCGCCGTAGACGCCAACCGTTATTCGGGCATGCCTTCTCAATTGATCTGCTATTAGGAGATGTTCAACAGAAATTAGGTTCCACATTGTAATTATGGATTATATATTCACCGTTAGATTAAGGTAGCTAGATGAGATGAGGTGAAAACTGTGGAGGGGATAATTTTTTCTCGAGATGAGAGCAGCAATGATTATGACTTTTGAAATCTCGACGAGATTTGACTATCTGAGCTTTTGCAATAAGAACACTCAAGCGGTCGGCGTGAAAAGTTCTTTGTAGAGTTCGGGCAGAGTGCCTCTATCAGCAGCTTGTGGATATGTGATAGTCAGTTGGCCAAGTAATCGAATATGCTCCTGAGCTAAGGCACGTAATCGTACAATTAAATCACACAACGTCTGCATTGATGGTCCTGCATCGGCCATCTGAAATTATACGGAATCGATTGCTGACTGATTGATTGATTGATTTGATTAATTAAGTAAATTGAAATTCAATCGAATTCAGTCAACAAATCATCAGGCACAACCATAAAGTTACTTGAAATTGTTGATCTATAATTAACGAACCCTCGAAGCAATCTGTTGCTGTAGACAATTCCTTAATTGTTCACTAATATATTGACCAGATGAGGATCGTTCGAGCAGAATCCATGCTGATAAAAGGGCTGTTTCCGTGGAAGTTAAATGGAGCTGTGCAAATTCATGCACACATGCATGCATCTGTAATGAATTGTCGAAATGTAATCGCATATTCTAATTCCGATGGAATGTTACAAATTTCTCAGTTTACACCCCTGCAGTAGACATATGTAGTGAACACGTTCACTTCCTGATTTGTTTCGAAACTACTCACTTACAGGTACTGGAATCCATTGAATGATCTTCACTGAGTGTTCGCATTGCATGAGGCAAAACTAACATTTGGTTTTTCATGGTTTTCACTACTAAGGGAACGACAAGATCAAGTAGAAGAATTATAAAAAGTGACAGTTGCTCAAGCTGATCATGAATTTTCTTTTTGGATTCTGCTGATCGCATTTCTATAGATAGCTTTAACATGTGACAACATTACAGTTAAAAATTTCGTTCATGAACGCGTCGTCTTGGCAAGATGGATAATGTGTCAAACAAAAGTAGATGGGGTTTGATTCACCTATTAACGTTCGTAATTTCTTTCGTGTGATTCAACTTTCATAGGGTATATTTCTAATTCCCGAATCATTTCTTTCATCTGTACTTTCATTTTGGCTATTTTGCTCTGCATTTTCATTGCCATGCGATACACCTGATTAGCACCTCATCGGTTTATACCGATACTTGCTCATTTTGCTCGATCAATGTTGCAGATGTGATATTAACACAATGAATTTCAAAGCGTGCTTCACGCGTAGAGAAACTTTTGAAAAAGTCAAGAAAGAACTTTTGCTGTAAGAAATGAACCGGCAAACTGAAGCTGTCAATACCATATGAATACTCATCCACAAGAAAAAACCATGAAAATATTAAAGTCTAAATCAACTCTTTCTTGATAATCAGAATCAATTCTATCCATTTCTAGTTTAACACGTAATCCACTGCACCAGGATCATCTCAATTCTTTGGTTTTACGAAGCAGCAACGCTACACTACAAATTTCAAAAAAAAGCTTACTAAGGTTCTAAAATGTGTCAATGATCAGCATGCGGAGCTTCATGATTGAGCATAAAACTCGATCCGATTCATTTTTTTGTGTCATTCCCTTGCATGTGAATGATGGTTAACGAAAGGACTGGACGAATTCAAATGAAAAACGAACACCAATGATGAACTGCATTTCGGCTGGATCACTGGATTGTAATATACTGGCTGGAATAACTTCCGAATCAACTACAAGTGATGCAGTTTCGATACTGTAATGTTGGGCAATAACAATAGTGGCCAACTCGAAAACACCACTTTTAAGCAATGAAATTTGCTCTTCTTGGCTCAACTGCATGAAGCCATCAACCATCTTGGCGAATTCAATAATACTTTGAATCACTCGGGTTAATTCATGTGCAAACCGTTTCCAGCCTTCTAATCGGTCCTGAAATCAAAAAAGTGTCTTCATTAAGCTGAATGTAATCTATTGCTGCTGCAGCTGCTTCTGTTCGTTTGGCTATTTGTTTGACACATCAAAATGTTTGGAGGTGTTATTTAGAAACATTTGCAGTGTCATTTGATTTCATCCGATCGCTTTATATAATCGTTTGATTATCTCTTGAGACTCATCTGCATACCCTCATTAAGATTTTTGGTTATTTTGCTATTTGATTTGTGTTGTGTTATTCTGTGCATTTCATGCCATACAATTTGTTGAATAATAGCGACAATAATAATAGTAATAATAATAGTAATATTAATAATAATAGTAATAATAATAATAATAATAATAATAATAATAAGAACAGTAATAATGGTAATAATGATAAGCGTAACAGTTTTAACAATGGTAAATTACATAATAAAAAGTTTCCTTCAATGTCGAAGAAACAGTGCTTATCAGCTTTCGATGCAACTAGTTGGCAAAATTCACAGTTGTAATTGGTTACAGGAAGAGGTCAAACGGAGAGTTCACAGCAAGATGAAACGATCGATCAGTTTTCGAGCTAATGTGAGCCATAAGCCGTCAAAAAGTCCAAAATGACACCTCTGCTGGTTTTTCAATCTTATCCGTTCTCATTCTATCCAGATTCTTTTCCTTATTCAACAATCATATCGCCTCGAATAATTCCATGTTCGATCTTGTATGAGGCTCAAATTGAACTAATCAAAGCAAAACAATCAACAAAGCGAATAATCAGCAAATTAAATGATAAGCTGGATAGAATTGCTTCATTTTCTTCTTCTTCGCTCGAACAAAACGCATTGTATTGGCGAGAAATAACAATTCTTGAATTGACTAATTGAACGTAAATTAACGTTGTGTGCAATTGATGATAATTGAGGTGAACGTTTGTGATTTTCTTTGTTCGATTCATTATTGTTACGGTACTTATCATTAATGTTATCACTCGACAATGATGATAAGTCCAGAGATGATACACCTTCCCCGTCTACGTCACCACCATTAATCAGTTGTTGCAGACGATCATTGTTGAATTGCGATTGCAGTACTGAACGTCGCCTTAATAATATTAACAATAATAATAATCATATGTAACACGCAAAAACAATAATGAATCCTGCATGAGTAAATATTACGTAAAGTACTAACAGTTATGGCAATAATAAAAGTAAGAATAAAAATAATAATAGGAAATAATAATAATGAATAATGATAATGACAATGATAACAACAATAATAATAACGATACAAATGAAATTGTTGCCATTAATGATGTCTTTATAGCACCTTTTTAAAAACTGTTCTATTCTGTTCAAACTATTCTATGACTATTCTATGACTATTGCTCCAAAATGACTATTCTATTCTATCCTGTGCATTTTTTGAGAAGTGTTCTATTCTATTCTTTCGGGCTCAAAAACGACTCTATTGTATTTTGTTCTATTCTGTGCGTTCCTCGTTTGCGAACTGTTCTATTCTATTCCTTAGAATAGAAAAAAACCGAATACTTTAACTGGAATAAAGACATCGATAGTTGTCATGGCTATCAACCTGAATAAAATGGGACTATAAATAATGAAAATTCCGTTAAATTTTACTGTTCCTAAGAGATAGCACAATATCAAAATCATTTAATAGAACTTTTAATAATAGCAATATGATAATATTGATTCATCAATAATCGCTGCATCAATTTCAACTGTTCATTTCTAATTTATCGTTCGATCCACATAGAACACTGACTATGTATTAGACAGTGTTTCATTTAAGATATTTTTTGCAATGTTGCTTACAATTAGTGCGCAACAGTCGAAAATTAGAAAAGGCCAACCATATGCAAATCTGCTGTCCTCCCTTCTTCTCACTAGGTTCATCATAAACAAGTGTCGATTTAAAAACCAGATTCACTAGTTGACTGTTTGAAGTGACAAGTGACTGCATGTTGATGACCATTACTACCAATAAAGCACTTAAAGCTAATCGCATCATCCCACGGTTATTACGTAAACATCGTTTAATGATTCTTACGAGTGATAGCAGTAAACAGTATTGGTGAAAAATAATACCACTTGAAAGAAACTGTTAGTGTTGTTGATTTTAAAATTAAAGAAATACTCATTTAGTTAATGACTCTGAGCGCAATATGTTTTAAGTAACTGGCACGCTTATGTTATCAACGGTGAGTGTTGTTTGTTTCAAATGCCAAATGCATAAATTAATAAACCCAACAAAATATATGCATATTTCAAAATCGTCATTGCATAAATATTCAATGATTGAGTTGACAGATGAGGGCATAGCTGGAAATTTCGATTCCTCACTAAAATTCTAGTATTAATCTCGTTCTGTTTAACGAGGGTAAGGACTGAACTATTGAGAGTATTACCATATCATTAATTTCATATTTACATACATAACTGCCAACTTTTGTAGAACAACAATAGTACTGATATCAGTGACAGATGTTGTTGCTGATCAGTGACAATTTGTTGAACGCTAGCTTTCGATCTGAGGGATTGGTTTGATCAAATTCAATCGCAACGCTTGCTGATCATGGCAAATTCATAACAATATACTCAATAATACAACTCATGAAATTGTGGGAGAAATTTTCAAACATTGGAAAGTTCAGTAATGATAACAATACCAATAATAACGATAATAATAATAATAATAATAATAATAATAATAATAACAATAACAATAATAATATAAAAGATGATGATGAGCAAATTACAAGAATACAGGGAGATGTATAGAATAGTGGATGGACGGATGATGCAAACGAAAACGATTATGATGATGGGTTGGTTAGTTGTATGGAGGATGAAGGACATCGGCAGGGTTCATGACCGAATGCGCGTACCGGTCTGCGGAAGGTGCTTACTGCTGATTTGTGATCAATCAGTTCGACAAACACACAGGTAGATTTGATGTTCATCGTCATATTATATAATAAATTGTGCATAATAATGATCATGATAATAATAACAATCGGTGATGCAAACAACATAATATAATCAACTTATTATTTTAAATACTTCTACTTATCCACGCATCTCATCGTCAGCACATCAACCACCCAGTCAACCTATCGATTAATAACTGAATCGCCAATCGCCGATACACTCCCGCCCGAAAGTGTACTTGAATAACCGAACGACCACTACACACAAAACTGCTAGCGTAGTGATCAAATTGAATTTCTATTTTTTTTTCAAATGACACAAGCAGATTCATGCATCAACAAGCGAGTTATATCAATCCATTTTCACTGCTGTCTCATACTTCACTCATATCCTAACGCGTTCACGCCTCTACCAGAAAAAAAGACTATAATATAACTCCTTAATGAATTTTATGTCCGCTTATTTTATAGACGTTGTAATAAACAAGCAGTAATGGTAGTGCTTAATGAAAGCATCAGCAATTGGAAATAAAAATTCAGTGCAATTCATGAATGGATTTAGTCGTTAGAATATAAATGGCTGATCAATAAAATCTTTGAATGAATATCACATTTTGTTGAGAATAATCATTTTAAGCAATATAATCTGATAGACGTAAATGCTAATTTATTAATGCAGTCAGCCATATTGTTACAATGCATTTATGCAAACTTTTTCATCCTCATCCATCAGAACAAGTGATCTTAGGTCTCAGCTGATTTTTGAAAGAGGAAGACACTTAAACATACACAAACACAAAGATTCTAATTAAGCACAGAGACGACGAGAAGGAATTTTGGTGACGATGCGTGCGATTGTATGCATGCAATAACAACACATTTTTGACGCAATGCGCGATTGATTCACTGCACTATTGATGTCTGATGAACTTCGAACATGTGATCTTAGTTGAAGATACGCTACTGTTTCAAAAACAAGCTTTTTGATGCATTCTCATGTCAAAACACAACTGATACTAGTTGATAAAAATCAAATGAACAACTAACCATATTGTGATAACGTTGCTCTGAATATGAATCCATGAGACGCGCAGTGTTGCTCTCACGAGCCCGTAACGTGGCGTTATGTGCCGAATCGAAAGCACTCGTTATGCTCGTAATAAGATCTTCATCCGGCTGGGTAGCACCCAAATTCGTTCGAGGATAACCTCCGTTCGGCGCTGGCACAGCAGCCTTGAATGTAATATTAAGTCCTTTCAAAAACTGAATATAATTCGTCTTTAAATGGCACAACCTCGAAGCAATCGAACACTTGCCTGTCAATCGATGATCGACCTTTTAATGATCATCTGGCTAATTTCATTCAACTCTATTTGTAAATTGATCAAAACTACGTCGATACGTTTGTGCGGATCGATTGATGAGGATTAATTTGATTCGACATTATTTCCTTCATTGACTTATTTCAAATCAATTGACCGTTCTGTTGAGTCTGTAGAAATCTGTTAGTGTGTCTGCAGTTCTGGATTTCAGAAACACAAAAGGTTGAAGATTTAAAGTCAGTTCTAAGAACAAGTCGAGAAAGAAAGAAACCTGTTGCGCAATCGAATATCCTTGTCCCTGAACCGAGGGATAGCTCACAGGTGCGGCCGCTGCATAACCAGCCGTATTCGCATACGTACTCGCCGCATACACCGACTCATAACCGTTTGTATACGCCGTATGCCCTGGAGGCGAATACTCACCGTATGGACTGTACGCTATACCATTCACCTCAGCCATTTGTTTGTGCATTCGAACCTGAATGCCATTTCGATAAACAACGGCACTTTGTCATTGCACTTATAAATGCACCGCAGTTTTATCCGTTTCTTTTGATTCTCTACCATAAAACTCTAATGATACAGAACAACGTTGAAAAACGACCAACTGCACTTAACACACTCGTAATTGTCAACACCAGCAAATTGACCATGCAATTTCAATAGTAATGAGGTGTTCTTGAAGTTAAGAAATTATTTCAAGAAAGTGATATATATGCTCGTCAAAGAAGAACTTCACTGAACGAGTAAATAACTGAATTAATGAGTGTTGTGGCATTTAGTAATTTATCTTGGAAGTGATGCTTTCTTACCTCATCTTCAACCTTTTCACGTTGCTTCTTGCTCATACGACCGAATTTGACCGCATCTCGACTCATCCCCAGTTCAAGGCATTTCTTCAAACGACAAAACTGACATCGATTGCGATTAACACGATCAACCGTACAATTCTTCTGACGTGGACATTGGTAGTTGACAACCGATGATTGACTGCGTCGGAAGAAACCCTTTAGAAAGAAGAAAAGAGGTTAACTATAATACTGAATAATCAATCAAAATCATAAATCACCTATTTTGTTGTTTTTGCTCACATAATGAAACTAAACACTCATTTAATTTGTTATTTATTTTTATACATATTTCATCTTGTACTACCTACGCATTTCGATCAGCATTTTTTTAGCATTAAAACTAAGTTAATGTATACCAGCCAGTCCAGCTGGCATCATCTGCTATTTGCACTGCTTTTTACCGTATCCGTCATCAATTGCAGTCTCTTTATCTCTCACGTCTGTCTCTATTTAACGCCATTTTAATAATGACCACTCTCTAGCACTTTGCAAGCAGTCTTTCTTCAGTGAGTTACTGACATGATTACGTAATAATGAGGATGACCGATTGATGGCCGTTAGAAATATTACGATTATTGCTTCATTATGAATGTTGCCATTATTACTTCGGTTTTAAAATTTTATGTTAAAGCATTCCATATGACGTAAATATGCTAATCTCTTTCACTCGAAACATTTTTTAAAATTGACAAGTAAAAGTCACATACGAACGAAGTGTTTTTGACAGTGTTGCAAAAACATTTCGTTTCTCACCACAGCAGTTATGGTCTGATAATGAATGTGCTAGCAAAGAAAGGTCAAAACAAGATCAAATTAAAAACTGCACAATTTAACTAATGCTGATGTTTTTGGTCATAATGCCCATATGATTTTACACACATCACTTTATTGATGAATAATCATTCAACAGAATTTCTGAATCATCTTTCTCAAATTTCGATTGTTGTTGGTTGCAATCAATAACTTAATCAATTCACACTTATCAACAAGATAGCATATAATTCTTAACACTGATCAGCTGATATTATGAAAATATGAAAGTTCAATCGAAATGAAGAATTTTTGAAATGAATGAAACTGTATGGAAGATGCCAGAAAATAGGAGAAAAATAACCATATTCGGTATTAGAGGCAACAAATTGTACTGACAATAATGGATCAATGCAAAGAAAACCTACTTTACAACCTTCACATGTAATGACACCGTAGTGAACACCTGATGATTTATCGCCACACACCTTGCATGGTATCACTTCAATTTGTGCTGAAACTAAGAGTTCATCAGGCCGTATAGAAGCGTTGCAATAGAAACTGTTCTCCAAAGGGGGCCCCTCTGACCATCGGCAAGTCAGCCACTCAACCGTCCAGAAGTCCATCATCAATTAGGAAGACTTCACAAGAGCCTAGCAATGAATCTTCGCAATTGCGAAAGCTATGAGCTAGAACGTTCTTGAAATGAATTTCTTTCAGCAAATTCCACAAATAAATCGAACGGCTCTCAAGTAAGTTATTTCATTAGATGATGTAGCAAATGAATGGTCAAAAGGAATCTGAATGTAAGAAATTTAGGCTGAAAATAGTTAACAGATAGACAAAACGTTCCTAGACATAATGAATTAATTTTTTAAAGCGGCTACAATTAAATTGATGGAGTTATTGAAAATAAACTCAGTTTCATTTCGAAAGAATATGATTAAGATCAAGTGAATGGCTGTAGTCTTTTGACGAGATTTATGAACAATTCATAATTTAATGAGAACAATTCGACGCATGCTTCTTGAGTAAATTTTCAAGAGTAACAAAGACTTAAATACTTATCAAGTTGATTTTACTCAGAGTAGCAATTTGTTTCCTCAACTCAAACAGCTGCAAGACTTCTAATATAATGGCAAAAGAGCTTTATTAGTAAATCAGCAATAATTTTATAAGATGAAAGAAATTGACTATCGTGATGGAAATAAATGATTAAGATCAAAAGGACCGTGAATGTTCAAGATATTATAAGCTTGAAGAAGTATTAGGCAAGTTTGCATTTGCAAAGCTCAGTTCAAATTTTTTATCATTTAATATGTCCACTGATTTAAGTTGCGCACTATATTTCACCAAAAGGTTGCGTTTTAATGATGAGGAAGAAAACACGCACGAATGTGACTTCCGTTACAACAACAGAAAATCGACAACTTTATCGTGAAGAGTCCCTCTGAGCTTGAAAGAAATGCTTCTTAATTGGCTTTGATCAAGAGATTTTGGAATTTTCTGTACCTGATGATATCAATCAATGGATGTACTAGCGGAAAGAAACAAAATCATAACTTTACTACACCACGTGGGAAGAATGTACTCGAAAAAGTAATAAGGTTTTAATGAATCACACTGAAACTTTGCAAGGACAGAAGAAATATGGATTATCTGAGGAAGCTTTGAAAGATTTGACAAGATGAAGCGGAATTGCAGACGATGAAAACAAATATTTTGCTTACGGTCTGAATGAAATAAGACCGTTTATAAGTTCAATAAACTGTTTTTTAAATTTCGTTGCTTGGATCAGACGAAAAACTGACGATATTTCAGGCGGTCATCTGTGCCATTAAATGCATTACGCAACAGAAATGATCAACACGCGCAAAGTTTTTGAATTTATGCAACACTTCCTGTAGCCAGTTATATTTTTTGTGCAACATTCTTGTTGAATGGACCTTTATTGAGTAGTGATAAAATGAAAGAATATCAATTACAAACTACTGTTGAGACTGTATGAATGGATTATACAAAAGACTAGGATGGATAAAAATTTATCAATTAAACAAGATAGGAAGACTCGATTGATTCCATGATTTGCGTTAATTTATGGTTATAAAAACAATTTTTTGCATGAATCTTGAATATGATATATCTAAAGCTATATAATGACAATGTGATGGAATCTGGCGCAGAAATGAGATCTGAAGGGGGGGGGGGGNGGTAGAATGGGAGGTGGGGAAAGCACTGGGGCAAATGTGTACTGAACGTTGAAGTTATGGGTTAAGTGGCTGTGAGGAGGCTGGACAGAGGGACCCAGAAACCTGGTTTGGTAGCCCGCTTACCTCGCATTTTGGGCGACGATCACGCGCACTCGGACAGATCACGCCACAATGCGACTGCAGTGGTTTCTGCTTTCTGTTTCAGCGACGATGGGCGTCGGTCATCAACATTAGGACGGACGGACGGACGGCTGCCACTAGGGGAGGGAGGAGATGCCTGCTGATGGAGAGATGAGATTTTGATCTAGTGATGTTGCTGTCACCCATTGATGTGTCACCCACAGAATGGTAGCGTTGCGATAGACATATAGATAGACGGATACCCGATGCAGTAGTCTTTCTTTCTTCTCTATAAAACAGTCTTTTACAGAAACGATGAAGGAAGGAAGAGTGATGCAATAATCATGTACGAATGACACTACAACACAAGGACGTCGACCCCGACCCTAACGACCATCCACCCATCCCCGCCAGTTATTATTGCACATGCTCTTGGTTGTACCTTGCTCTGATCATAAAATTGTCATTACTTCTGTTCCAAGGTGTCATCTGCCTTCATTCTCATCATCGCTATTATGCTCCTTCGGCTATCTTTTATCCTTTTATTGACAGCCGCACTCGTAACAAAAATTATGTTATTCTGCTTATTACTTGGCTCCATCAATCATATTCTGTAAAATAAAGTGCTCTTATCAAAGACAATTCAAAGGCACTCAGATCAAATCGTAATAACTCAGTAAAGACAAATCAATGAGATCTCTTTCAATTATACGAATCCAATCTAAGAAAAATTTTTGGATGCAGCAACAATCCGGTGCTTGTACTAATTGCAGTGATAACGAAAATCGTGACTGAAAAACTAGATCTCTTTACCTTCCAACTAGAGAAAAACAGCACATTTAATCACACCATCCTAATTTTTGAACGAAACGCAAGCAATGTGAGGAATAATGAAGCATAAACCAACGATGTAATGTTTGACAAGCGCATTGATTTGAACAGTAACACACATCATAAATAACCAATAAGAAACAGTAAGCAAAATTATTCAGCGAAGAAATTAATTTGAATATTTACATTTGAATACAATTAGCAAAATTAATTTAAATACTTACAAATTGATCATGATGAAATTTGTCAGATAAGAAAATGTATGTATATAAGAAAATGCATAAAATATAAGCATTATCAAGGCATTTTGCATGGAATGAGCTGATAGTGTTTTCGATTGATAACGTCAATTTGTTATTATTAAATAATTCGAAGCAAACTATAGATTCATGAATAACTCTTTAAATTTTGCATTCAAACTTTACGTCATTCGCACTTTTATCGAACAATCACTTTTGTTACCCATTTTGGATCGTCCTTTTCAAAAGTTTGCAATATTCTCAATTGTATTCGAGAAATCATTTATCTGTAAAAGCAAATACAGAAATACAAGATATTTGTGGAATGTTGAAGACAGAAGTAGGAGAAAACTGAAGAAACACAACTGCATCTGTTTCGATCAAAACGTTCCATCAACAAACTCTGTGACCAAGAAATTTCAACCGAGAATGTTCGTAATAGTTTTATAACTTAGAATTTACTTCATTTAATGTACACAATCAGAGGCGACAATGTAGGTGGCATCTGTATGTAACCTTTCGATAGCTTGAAAATGGTCCATTCTGATATCACAATCACCTAGAGCAGTGCGGGCATTAGGGAATGTCGGGGAACCTGTCCCCGACTTCTCTCGAGTCGACGACATCTTCGGAGTTCCCAACTGGAGAATTTCGTCCCCGACCTCTTTCCCGTCTCCGCACCACACTAACTTCAGCTACGTCAATAAATTTTTGCTAGAGATCTACAGTAACCTGTATGTGTGAAAAACAAAAAGTTATGAGGTTACTACTAAAGAAGAGCGCAGAATTAGCTTGAATACGTATGCTAATTGCATATACATCAATAAATTGGATCAAATTTATACACTTAGATGGCATAATAACGTCGCCATACCAAATATAATATATCCAAAAATCTGGCTGAATGTTATGCTTTTTCAGATCAACAATATCTATATGTTATTCTGGAAGCTAAAAATTTCTTCTTTCAAATGATGCGAAAAGCTCATGAGTTTGCTAATCAAAACTAAATAGGTTAACAAACTTGGTCACATGTTTTGAAGGCATGACTGCTATTGCAGAAAAGTGAGACGGTTGTGGGTAAGGTCGCACTTAGGGAACTAGTTCAATTCGCCTAACGACATAGGTTAGCAGAGGTTCGGACGCAGCCTAGAGATGACCTTCAGCCTAAGTTCAAGCATCTACCTCAACACGATAGCGCAGTCGCGCTCATTCCTACACATTGATCACTATTGAGCAATCAATACGTTCATATTTGCAATAGGCGGATTGCGATCTCGGAGCTAACCGTCTTCTTAGGTTTGCTCGGCAACATGCAAATTTCTTTTAACCGCTCGATTCAGCAGAACCTCTACATTCAGAATATTTAAAATGTTACTGAGCAATTTGGCTTAGTTGAGGAGATATAGGCATTTTATTGATACTATGTCGGGTGCCACCTTCAGGAACACCATAAGCTCAAGTTTACCCAGTAACATATGAATTTTCTTACATTAGTCGATCCAGTTGGATCTCCTCATGCGGAAAAGCATATATTTTGTTTAGCGATTTTGCTTTCCTGAGGATATATAGCTATTTTCTGGAGATCTGTCTTAGTTTGATAGCGCATTCGCGCTCATTCGTACACATTGATCACTATTGAGCAGTCAATGCGTTCATATTAGCAGTAGGCGGATTGCGATCTCCGAGCTAACCGTCCTCTTAGGTTTGCTCGGCAGCATGCAAATTTCTTATCACCGCTCGATTCAGCAGAACCTCTACATCTAGAATATTTAAAATCTTACTGAGCAATTTGGCTCAGTTGAGGAGATAAAGGAATTTTTGTGATCCTAAATAATAGAAATTTGAGTTTGATGATGTA